TTTTTTTTGCTTTCTTTCCTCTCCTTTCTGCAGATCTTCAATACAATGTCTGCAGTGAAAATACACTGACAGGATTTGCATGCCAAAAATTAATTACCATATACTCAGCTAAGAAGGTCTCATATTTTTCTCCTTTAATCATAACGCAAATATTACAATTTTTACATTTTATAAATATCAGAAAGAAAAACGAAAGCCCAGAGATATAGCTTGCTAATGCTCCTCAGAAGATACTCACAGTCTTGCAAGCTTTGGCTGATAATAAATAATGGCAGTAGTCAATTCCCCGCTCAGTGTTGTTACTAATAAATTTGACTTATTTCAATTTGTGTGGTGAGAGAAAAATTCCATCGGCTGCAACTTTTTTCTTGCTTTTTATGTTACGTTATTTAATTTTAATTTTGATTTTTCTGAGGCGTTGTCTGGCTACATAGCTCACTTACCAGTCCCTGCACGCCTCAGGCTGACCTCAATCTCCGAGCGACCCTCCCCCTCTGCCCCCCTCCCTGGTGCTGGGATTACAGGCCTCTGCCACACACTCCCTCCTGGTGAGCTGCACTTTTTATACTTTCCGGCTCAGACCCATATAATACCCGTCACACTTGCACAAAGATTGCCTACAAATTCCCACCCTGCATTTCCCAAAGACTTTACCATACACTATCCCAAGTTTTGATTCCCTTAGCACCTACCTTTGATAGCCCCTGATTCCTGAGGCCCCATCAGTACAGTTACGAGGAAAAACGCTAACACCAGGCCTCTGTTTACAGTCATTTTCTTCTTGGGTGCTCTGATGGGAGTCACTAGAGTTCAAAATCCGGTCACAATGCATGGGACTAAGAGAAAAAGATTAAAATTCAAATCCGTTGAGCATTAGCCAATCAAAAAAAAGTATCGAGATGACACATCTGTTGCTAGGGCCAGAGTTCTTGTAAAAAGTTCAAGAGGTAACAGTTCATCAGATAAAGAAGAATAGTTCTTAAACAGACAGAACAAAAACTCCAGATTTTTGAGAGTATTAACCAATCCCTCAGTCCCCCATCTCTATCCAAATTCTAGGAAGGGATATTCTTGAAGCATATTAGCGAAAATAAAATTCATGGAAACATTAAATTCAGATAAAATACAGATCCTGAGTTTGGGCTGTAACAGCAGGGGACTTTTTCAAGGGAGGACGGATGAGCTGAAGATTGTTTGTCAAACCAAGCAGAATACACGACTTTCGGCAGTTCTGGTTAGAGCCTCGCTTAAGCACTTTCTTGCTGCATCTCCGCCTGTCTGCGGAACCCCGGGGTGAGCAGCGGCCTGTGGTTCTAGAACCCACAGCATCATGCTGGAGCCCGTGGAGCAAGTCTGAGTGTCAACAGTGCCGACGCTGGAGAAGATGGCAAGCTGCTCCTGGGGACGTGGGTAGCGGTTACCGGAAGCTCTGGGCAGCGCACGAAGTGTGCTCCCGATTTCTGCGGGGAAACTAGAGGGACCGTGAACGAAAACCCTACCTGGCTTGGGACCTCCGATCAGAGACTACGGTAGAGGAAAGCGGGCAGAACTCCTTTGCTGAGAACACTTAGGGGAGTAACCTACAGAAAGCCCCTCCTTCCTTCAGGTCAGGGGTTATAAAACCTCTTCTGCTGCCACGGCACTGTTAAGTTTGTGATCCAAGGAAAATATTTCCATATTCCCAGAATACTGGAAGTTGGTAGGCACCGCACCCTGTTTCTGAAAATATAGTGCTTCAGGGCCAGCCAAATAGCTCAGCGGATTAAAGC